TCACTTTCAGGGCTTTTCATAAGGAGGTGGTGTTGCTGACCGGCCACCAAAATGGTCCATGAAATGTTTTCATTTGATTGGTTTCCTGTTTCCCAGGTATTTGCTTGGTTTTTCATTTCCTTCTTAGCTTAGTCAGTGCTGAGGCTGCTTTCCACTTTTAATTACCAAGCAAGCGAAAAAAACAGTTTGGGAGCTTTTCAGAGAAAAGTCTTCATTTGCTAATTAAAACGTGTAAAGCTATAGGTAGATTTTGAAGTGCAAGGCACAACTGTGACTTAAAAAACACACATACAACAACCAGAAAACAAGGCTTACCACAATTTCAAAAATGTAAATATTGACTCTTTCTCTGTAACCCTTGTAGCTTTAAGGATCAGTTTTTAAAATTTACCCCACCCCCCACTCCCCCTTCCTCTTCCCCATTGTTATTCCATTGAGAGGCAAACATCCTAGATCTTGGGCTACAAGGGTCCTTAGAAACCATCTAGGGACTCTTACCCCTTTGTTGTACTCTGGACCCCTGTGGTGGCAGTCAGAGGAAGCCTAGGGATTCCTTCTCAGAATCATATTTTTAAATGCATAAAATGAGATGCCTAAGATACCAGAGGAACCAAGTATAGTGAAATAGTTATCAGTTTTTTTTTTAAAGCAGGTTCACTGTGCCCCAGGTTAAAAGTCTTTGAATCTAGTCCAAAGCCCCTCATATCACAGCTGAATTAAATCAAATGAACATTATTTGAAAGGGACCCAGATCCGCTGGTGAATGAATGCTTGTTTTTTGACAGGCTTGAGAGGGCCACCTTGACATTCCCAAACTAAGGTGGACCAACTAGAGAAATGCAGTTACCCCCATCTCCCACCAGCTGAAGAATTCCAGAAAGGAAAGCCTAGAGGCCACCACTGTAATCTTTGAACTCTTAATTGCTAATAATCAAAGCCAAGTTCCATTACTAATAAACTCCCATCTTATCTGTCCTGGCACAAGCACATTGTATGGTTTGTTTTGATTCACAGATTGTGTCTGCACTGGCAGATGTTTGTGGCTGGGATAGCCCAAACATTTGCAAAAAATTAAAAAAAAAAATTTGCGGGGTTGAAAATGGTTCTCCCAGCCAAGGCTTTCCCAGGGAAGTGGGTGGAAACCTTTGCCAAAGTGTTCAGTGCCCTAGCAAAGTGATTTCTGCCAAACAATGGAAACAAATACTTTGAAGAGACACAAACATCTTGGCTCCTAAGACTTTCAAATTAAAGCCTTATTTATGAAACAAATGCTTTATTAGGAAAAACATTGGCTAGTGTGGATAAGATCAGAGATATTTCTGTTGGCAGCAACAGCATGTATATATTTTGAGAAATAAATCCACCTCATCAAGCATCTTCTTAATAAGGGACATCAGCGTTAGCATAATTATCAGTTAATAACCTCTGTGGATGCTTTTGATTTTGAGAAGGTACAAGCTGATTTTTTAGGCTAGCATGGTTCTTTCTGTTCCCTCATTGGCTGTGTTCTGTCAGTTTGGCTTTGAACGGTGCATACAGACATGTAAGGCTGACTGCTAAGTGTACATACGTGCCCATTGTGATCTGCAGTAGCCGTTCCAAAAGGAGCACAAAATGCTTTTAGAGCTTGGCAGTTGCCCTGTGCTGTACTCACCTTCTAAGAAGATGGTCGCTATTTGGGGGGCAGAGATTGGGGGACACCTGGGAGCAGTAAGCTAGCAGATACTAGGGTGGTGGAGTAAGGGTGGGGGGTGAGCACTTTTATTTATTAAGTATCTACTCTATGCCAGATGCTGGACTAAGCATTTTATAATCATCTCATTGAATCCTCGCAACAAACCTGGGAGATAGGTGTTATCTCCATTTTGCAGTCGAGAAGACTGAGGCAGACAGAGATTGAGTGACTTGTCCAGATTCGCTCGGCTAGTAGGTGTCTGAAGTTGGATCTGAACTCAGGTTTTCCCATCTCTTGACTGTTGAAGACAGACTTGTCACTCACACACACGTGCACACACAGACCAACATTGGTTGTCCTCCAGTTTCTCAAGGAAATAGCACCCTCACGCGCTAAGTGTTGGTTTTCCTGGGTTTGGAGCTGTAACTTAGCAGGCCTAGAGTCTAGCGCCATCACTTTGTTGATGAGGAAACAGAGGCACTGAGAGGTTATAGGATCGTTGCTCTAGAGCTTGCTGGGACACTGGAGGCTGTCAAGTCCAAGCTCTTTTGGTAAGAAGCCCTGAGGAGAGGTTGATTTGCTTCAGGTCACACAGGGCAGGTCTTCCTGACTCCAACATCAGGGTCTGGTCTACTGGGCCAGGCTGCCTCAATAGATCCTCGTCCGAGGGCTGGTGGGCCCCAGTGCCATCCTTTGACCAGTGAGGGAAAGCTAGTACTGATGGCTTTTGTTGTTGAGATGCGCTCTGCTGGTCGCCTGACCAGAGAGCCGTCCCTAATTCTGTCTCGGTCCCACGTTGAGACACCACAGGAGTTCGGAGAGGAGCAGACCGGGGTGGGTGATGGATTGCCAGAGGTGGCAGAGCTGGCATTTCAACCCAGGCTTCCCAACCCCTCCTTCTTTGCTTGGAACCAGGAGGGCTGACCAAGGTGGGTCAAAACCACAGCAACTCCCCCTCCCCTCCCAAGTCTGACAGTGTAGACCCTGGCCTGCGTCCACCCCTTGCCAGGAAACACGGCGTTTGCCCTCAAGGAACCTGTCATCCAGATGAGCAGGAGACAGAAAGAAAAGCAGAGACTTCACCCATAGCTCAAGGTGAAAGGGACCCATTTCCCCTGGTTTTGTGGGGGGCACAGAGCTAGCTGCATGTTACAGGAGCTGTAGATGAACAAGACCCCGCTCCCTTTCTTCAGGGAGCTACCAGGTAGCAGAGGGGGAGGCATAGATAAAGGAGGGTCGATGGGAAAGTCTTCTAAGAGCCCACAGGGAGTTTGGATTTTGGAGAGCTGAGCTGGGGGTAATCTGAGAAGGCTTCATCGAGGAAGAAGCATTTAGGCTTCATCTGGATGGCTGGGCAGGAAAGGGTAGAGGGTGAGGCCTTCCAATGAATTGGGGAGCATAGCAGGGATACGTGAAGGAGGGTTCTGGGAGGGGATCGCGATCTAGGTAGTTGTTGAAAGAGCCCTTGCTATCATCTGAACCCAGGTCTCAATAGCTGGCGTGCAGAATGCCCATTACATATGTGGGATCTGATTTCATCCTCCTGATTGTTTGATGGAATAGGTGCTGTTATTATTCCCACTCTACAGACGAGCGAGCTGAGGTCGACTGGAGCTAAGTTACCGAGTGAGGTCTTGCTGACCGATCTTCTCTCCACGGTGCCCAAACCTCCTCCCAGTGCAGGTGTTGTCCAGATTGTGGAGGACGACCTTAGATGCTTCGTTAGGGACTTGAATCTTGTGCGCTTGGAAATGGAGAGGTGTGTTGTGGTGGTGTTTTTAAGGTAGAGAAAGCACGATCAGTGTTGTCCTTCCTGAATATCGTAGGAGCTCACGGCTGTCTTGGTGGGTAAGAGACTGTGGTGATGGTCCAGGCAAAGAGCCATGAGGTGGGTGACCAATGGGAATGGACAGGAGGGGGCAGATTAGAGTGACTTGGGGTGGTAATTGATAGGGTGAGCTTGGGAGGTAGGGGTAGAGGGAGAAGGCGGAATTGAGGGGCACAGTGGTGTGGAAGACCAGGGTTCAAATCCTGCCTCAGACACTTGGCAGCTGTGGCGATCCAGGAAATGAGGGCTGTGGTGGGACAGGGCTCCGAGGTCCCGACTAGCTCTTGACCTGGGATCCTAGGATCCTGCCAGGTGATTCATGCTCCATGAACAGAATGAGGGAGTGAGTGAGCAAGGTGGAGCAGAGTCTGGGACTGCCGAGACACAGGCACATATTAATTACTCCGGCTCCTTGTGTCTTGCCAGCTGCCACAGGGAGGGGAGGAGGCGGAAGGAGGGGGTCGCTGGGCCACAAGCAAAGACCAAGGGAAAGTATCTGACCCAGAGGGGGCCTGTGGCCGAGGCTGCTTCCTGACACACCGCCCGTTCTCTCCAGCTTACCTTGCAAAGGACAGGGTTAAGAAGCAGGCTTTGGCTTTATTTTGAGACCTAGTTGAAGGCGATTTGTGGACAAGCACAACATGAAGGTATTTAGATCAGAATCTTTTGTTAAAGGTTAAATGACATCCCTTCCTAAAGAAGTCGCGCTCCTACTGTTTGCACGCTTGGCTTCTGGTTTGCTTTGTGCCTCATTATGTGCGGGAGCCAGGCTTAATGAAACCCAGTCTCTCACATCTGACTGCTTAAATGACTCTCCGTCGCTGCTCCTCGGGGACACTTAGCATTTTTCCCCCTTAGAGCACACTGCATAGTTTCCTTTAAAGTGTTTTCCCCCCTCCACTATTGATGTTTCTCCATCAGTTTCTGACTTTGTGACGCTGCAGAGTTGCTGGCATAAAAGCTGTACGTGGGTGCAGATAGCTTTCAGTAGCCAGATTTAGTCATTTGTGCTCTCGATTGAAGATTCAGAATTGTTCAGTTATAATTCTGCATGACTTTGGGCAAACCACTTAGCTCGTCTGGGTTTAAATGATTTGGGCTGAAAAATAATGGCAGGTCACCTCCGTGCATTCGCGAATACCGAGTGCTTATTGTGGTGTGACCCTGCATTAGGGTTTGTGGGTGCAGGAAGACTTCTTGAACTTGACTTTCCAGCGGTTTTCAGTCTAGCAGATGACTGAAGGGAAAGCAGGGCACATACACATATACATACGTACACATACACTCATCCTATACAGAGAGTAGAGCAACATCTGGATGTATCTGTAGATAGATCTGTGTCGTGTGTGTGTGTGTGTGTGTATTTGTTTTAGAGAAAAACTTAATAACCTCTATCCTAAGCAACTAGAGCCCTGTCAGATTTCATTTTTTCTGTGGTATTCAGTGTTGAGGACAAAGAGGAAAAGTTACAGAGAATGAGCTGAGCAGAGTGGCCGTAGAAGTTTATTGGTTGAGTCCCCTGAGCTGGCCCCATCCCTGATCCAGTTGTCTGGCCCCACTGCACTGTGGGCATCTGGACCAGTGGCCCCCCCACGCTGGGGGGCAGTGGGAAGGGAAGGGTTAACGTTTGCTGGTGTTTCAGGAGTTCTTGGGGAAGAGGGGATGGCTGTGGCCTGAGGCCTCTGGCACAGTCACCTTGGTGTGGCCTGCATTGCTGATGGAGGCTGGGAGAGCATGTCTGGAAGACCTGACTTCAGAGACTGGCTCCTCTACTTTGTCCAGGCCGCCTTAAAGCTAGTGCCTTCCTTCAGGGACTGTGTGCTCCCAGCTTAGAGGTCTCCATCTTGTTTGCAGGTGGCCTCCCTTCGCTAGACAGTGGGAACTGGGCTGGGCACGTAGTAGGTGCTTACTAAGCGTTTATTGAAGGTCTGATTGTGGCCTTGGACAAAGCCATTTAACCTTTTTGTGCCTCAGTTTCCTCACTGGTAAAATAAAGGGAGTGGCTTCCAAGACCCCTTCCAGCTGTCTGTCTGTATTCCTGTCATCTTGCAGGGTACTGCACTTGGAGTTGGAAGAATGGGGTTCAGATTCCGTGTCTGGCACTTATGAGCTGGGTGATCATGAACAGATCTCTTCACATCTCTGCCTCTTGGTTTTCTTATCTGTAAAACGAAAGGGCCAGTCTTGGTGGCTTCCGAGCTCCCTTTCTGCCCTGATGAAGAGCCTGTGATCCTGACTCTTTGGTCCTCAGTCTCTTCATCTGTAAAATGAGAGGGTCAGCAGTCCATTCCAGCTCTAAATGGATGGTCATCTGGCCCACCTCTGCCATTCTGCAGATGAGGAAACTGAGGCCCATGGGTTTAAAAGACTTGCCCAAACTCACCCAGGTGATTTGAGCCCAGCCTTTTCTTGGACACCCCGTTGCACATAGCCAATGTCATGTCACAGGTTTCCTTGTTTTGGGCATCCTATCATTCTTTTTTTTTCAATGAAAATGCCTTTGGAAATGATGGTGGCTTCCAGGGGACCTCGTGGATGAACATGGATGCGTGCCTTTGTGGGTTGGCCTCCCGATGGAGAAGCAGTTTAGGGTGTTCTTTTTCTCTTCCATTCAGTGACCTTAGAGCCACCCTTCGGCTGCCAGAACATGGGCATGACTCCCTATGGCTGTTGGTGTTGTTTTTGTTGTTAAGGGATGGAAATGGGTGGCTCTGGGTGACTGGGTGGGCTGGAGATCTGCCTACGAAAGGGGAGTAGGTAAAGATAGAGGAAGATGGAGGAAGAGAAGGGACGTGGGGGTGAGGCGGAGGTACGCTCTCCTTCTCCACCATCTTGCGGACAGAAAGAGGCTTCTTCTCCCTGACCGGTGTCTTTATCCCTTGGCATTTGGGGTAGAGCCAGAGGCTTGAGAAATGACACCGTCCCGAGCTCTCAGCCACGTGTCAGGCGTCGGCCAACAGTTTCGGTGACTAGCAGTAGTGATGATTAATGGCAAAAACTTTATTAAATGTTTGCTCTTTGCAAATCTTTGTGCCCACCTTGGTCGCAGAAGAAGGCCCAGTGTTCCTTAGGGTTGAGGTGTGAGTGAAGGGAGCCTGGAGGGCACCTGCTCATCACCGCTAGGAAGGCGCAGGAAAGGGGGAGGGAGAGAGAAGTGGAATGAGATTCATAACGTGTATCCATCACTTTAGCTTTGCAAAGCGGCATTACTGCCGCTCTGTGAGGAAGGAACAGTATAGACACTGAGGCTGGGCAATCAGGCTTCCTGCCCCATCCCGGGATGCAATGATCTGACCGCCGTCCTAAAACCCACCTCCTGAACGGAGGCGTGTGAGCGGATTGTGGTAAGGGTGTTGTGGTCGGAGACAGGTCAGGAGTATTAAGAGGACGAAGCTGTGTATGACATAGCTGGCAAATGTGTGATCAGACTTGGGGTGTGTTGGTTGGTTTTGATTTTCAATAACATGAACAAAACTTGAAAGATTACAGACTGTTCAGCAGCACCCTCCCCGGGCAGGTCAGTGTGACTCCATTTTCCCCAGGGAGTGTGGGAATCATGGTGTAACAGAGCGGGTGGGAATTGTAGATTTGGAGCTGCGAGGCGCCTCTGAGGCCATCCGGTCCAGTGCCCTCATTCTACAGATGGGAAAACTGAGGCCTGCGGAGACAAGGTGTGCTTCAGGTCACCCAGGATGTAAGCTGCAGGGCCAGCGCTCTTTCCAGATGGAGCCCGGGCCCTGTGACCCGGGAGCAAGCGCCCGCCTGCTCTGCTTTCTCTGACATTCAGATGTTGATGAGAAAATTGGGGTCTGCTCACATACTGCTTCTCCTATTCTGTTATGTGAAATATGACAGAGTCAGGCAGCATGTATTAAGCACCTTGTATGTACCAGGGTGAATCCAAGCCAAAAGACCCAGGCCCTGCCCTCAAGGAGCTTATGTTCTGATGGGGGAAGACAGCCCACAGAAGGGAACTGAAAAGTAATCGGGTGGGAGAAGGAGAAGAAGGTACGAAGCCACACATCCATATAGAGGGATGAGAGATGTTATTAAAAACTAACTTCTTAATATATCCATGATCCTAATTACTGGTAACTATGGTTATCCAATAGAGAATTCATCTGAGGATGGAATTCACTCAGCATGCTGGGGCTGTAGCCCTTTTAATAGGTATGTTTGTCACGTCACCACCAGGTGCAGATTTTGGAATATTGATTTGTCAAAACAGATCGTTTTCCTCAAAGTTCGAGGCCCCGGCTTTTTGGGTTGGGAAAAACTGGAGACCTGTGACATTGCCACGACCCGTGTCTTTGCCACGCCCTGGGTAACATGAACCTCGGTGATTGGGAGCCACCCAGTCTCCGTCAGCCATACCTACCTTCGAAGGAACGTCTCTGCCACCAGTACACGTGCTGCTTTGGCTCGTCTTTACTGTTAAGTAGAATGACTGAGTTTGGCCACCTTCTGTCCGCCAGTGTACGTTTATCAAGCCGACCGTGTACGTGGTGGGACGTGAGGTTCGGTGCCAGGCAGCGTGGTTTCCCAGTGGTTCTTAGAGTGCTAGACCTAGAGTGGGGAAGACCTGAGTTTGAATCCTGCCCCAGACGCTCTCTAGCTGTGTGACCCAGGGAAAACCACCGAGTCTCACTGTGCCTTTGTTTTCCTCATCTGTGAAATAGAAAGAAGGAAATGAGCATTTATTAAGCACCTCCTTTTTGCCAGACACTGTGCAGGGTGCTGTGTAAACATCATTGAGACCTCGGGAGCCTGGTGCTGGGTTTTATCATGAGGCCCATTTTACAGTTGAGATAATGATAGTGCCTAGCCTAGTCAGCAGTGCTTAGTAAATGCCTGCCGTGTGCCAGGCACTGTTCTAGGCCTTCGTTAAGGTTGTTGGGAGGGCCCAGTGAGTCACCAAACGAAAAGCACTATGAAAGCGCCAGCGTCGTGACTGAGGATGGTGGTGGTGGGAACTCAGATCAAAGAGGAACGGAAGCCTCTGTTGTCATGGAGCTTGGGCTCTCTGCGTCTATGTGCACAAATAGATTCAAAACATACACTCTTGGAGGGGAGAGGCTCTCATGGTCAGGGGTGGGGAAGGGGAATCTGGGAAGGGAGCTGGGGTTTCTGAGAGGCCCAGGGGAGGGGGAGCAGTAAGGGAAGGAGGAAACAAGTGCCTGCTGTGTGCCAGGCATCCGCGCCAAGACCAAGCGCCGTGTGTGAGGAACGGCGGGAGGCCGATTTGCCCGGTAGTCGTGCGGCTGAATGAGAATTCTGCTCGCCGCTTTGAGGTTTTCAAAGTGCCTGGACATGTTGGCTCATCTTACCCTCATAAACCCCTGGGTTGTAGGTGATATTGTTCTGCCCATTGTAGAGATGAGGCAACTGAGATGGAGAGCCGTTGCTCAAGGGTGGGATTTTCAGGTTTTCCCGGAGTTCGGGTCCAAGGCTCTAACCAGTACCCCAGGCAGCTGCCTCATTCTGAGGGAAAGTTGGTCAGTTTGTCACCGTTGACCTAAGATCCACATCCCTGGGCCCTAAAGGGCCTCGGATCCTCTAGGCCAGCCCTCTGCCTCTGAGCCCTGGGTGCTGATGGCTGTGTTTTGCTTGGTTTTAAAGCTCCAAGGTGAGAGGTCTTGTAACTCCCTCTGAGGTCATTAGCAGTTCCGCATACCAACCGCCTGAATCCGGTCCTCTCGGCCCGCGTGAAATTGCATTTGTCAGTTCAAGTGCTGGCAGGATCAGTAGATAATAAACTAGTGCTTGGCCGGCAATTTTGTCTGCTCGTGGAGCTTTCTCGATCACTTATTGTGCTCAGGAAGCGTCTACTGCTTATTTGGAGGGTCTCTGCCAAGGCTAGGGAGCCAGGGGCTGGAGTGGCGGAAGGACACCCTTATCATCACAGCCTGGGTCTGTCATAGGTGACCGGGGGCTTTCACCTCAGAGAATCCCCTTGATGTCATCGAGTGCCCACCTACCTCCCAAGATGAAAAGCAAGTTGACGGTTAATGGAGGAGTCCGGCCTGTCTGTACTTGTCCAGCTGGCTTTGGCCCTTCAGGACAGAGTCATTACTATGGGGGAACTACGGGAGATGGGCCGTCTTGAGAAAAGTCGTCTTGCCTCTGTTTCCAGAGCCAGCCCTTCTAGGACTGTGTCTGTCACCCACGGTCTCAATTACTTGTGACTGGGACTGTTACTAGAGTCAGAATTCACTTGGAATGCTCATCCTGTAGCCCCATGCATGTGGATTTCTGTCCTCTCCCCATTACATGGGTCACTTCAGAAGATATTTCCATTTTATCTGGAAGAACAAACCAATTCTGTCTTTTCGTGATCCATTTTTTGGAGGGGAATGAAGCATCGACTTGGTTTTGCTAAGGAAAATTTCCCCCGTATCTAGTCAGTGTTTTTTAAAGGCACATTGAAGTCACTTCTTGTTTTTACGATGAGGTTTTCTTCTGGAACGCTCCATTTTTAGCTTGGGCTCTGGCTTCTTAAATCGAGGCATCCAAGCCCTCCTCCTCAGCAGACTGTTTATATTTTTGAAGAGCCTTCTGCTTATCTGTTATTGCTCTTTCTATCCCAACGTAACCACACTGGTTTCTGCTGCTCTTTTTATGTGCCTTCGCTTAACTGGGACGAGTTTCAAATGTGGTCCTGCCAAACTGTTAAATGTTTCCCTCTTTTTCTGCGATATCTTTGACATCTGTTAGTGAATTCTAGCCGGTCCCAGCCCGATTGGACTTGTTAGCCCGCTATCTCTCCAGAATAACGAGGAAGGTGTGGCCTAGCGGTGATGCTTCTATACCCCCACTCCCCTGCCCCGAGCTCCTGCCCTGACCCTGTGTTTGGGGCAGATTGTTGGCTGACGGTCGTCGGAGCCCTCATAGCGGTGTACTGGCCATGCAGACCACCTGATTTAAGAAAGAACAGGTAGGGCCCACCCACTTGGGATGGGCAATATAACATCCTTTCTCAGTATAGACTTAGAGATGGAAGGAACTCAAGAGATCATCTAGATATAGGTCTTTGAGTTGGAAGGAACCCTGGAGTCCCCTCCTCCCAGTCCTCTCTCCTCATTTTACAGCTGAGGAAACTGAGGCCCAGAGAGACTCATGGGATCACAGAATTAGAGATGGAAGGAGCCAAAGAGACCATCTAGTCTTGGGCTTATATTTTACAGATGAGGAAACTGAGGCCCAGGCCAGTTAAATAACGTGCCCAAGGTTACCCAGGTAGTAGCATCAAAGGTGGGATTTGAACCCATGTCCTGTGACTGGACCCATGTCCAGTTCTCTTTCTCCTATACCACTCTGAGATCAAATGGCTTACAAGGTGGGATTTGAATACAGGTCCTTCCCTGCTAAAGTTGGAGCTCTTTTCATTAAGAGATGCTCAACCAGTCATATTTTTTCCACCCAAATGACTTTTTGCCTTGGAATCTTAATTTGATTAGAATGAGAAGATTGCCTTGTCAGATGGCAAGCTGGCTATATGGCAGATTCAGAATTGGGGGGGGGTCCCCAATACCTGCTGATCAGGTCTTATTCATCCTTCCCAGAATGTGCTTTTAAGTCTCTTAAGTAACCAAAGTCGCTCAGCAGGAGGATTGGGCTTTGGTTGCTTGCAGAAATGTGTCCTTGCTGTCCTGCGGTCAGCCTGTAGCCCCACTGTGTGCCCATCTGCCACGGGTGCTCATGAGGTTGCTGGAGAGTTGGCAGCTCCTGGTAGAATTGGAGGCCCTCCTCCCCCTCCCAGCATCACCAGCTCTGTGACATTTCTGGGACCTATGTGCAGAAGTGCCCTGAAGCCATGTTGCCTGTGTTACTGGAGATCTCCGAATTAGGGCGATTCTCAGCTATACCAGCCCCGTCCCCCAAAGTGTCCCTGCAGTGTTCTGTACAGGTTCATGTTTGAGTCACTGGAAAAAACAGATTCATTTTTGATTCACCTTCTTGGGATTAAATACATTAATTTTAACTTTTTGAGTTAAATTAAATTCAGCCCAAGAGGACCTGGGTTCAAATCCTGCCTTTGGCTCTTATCACCTTAGGTCTTTGGTTTGCTTGGCCGTACCATGACGAGTTTGGACGAGTTGGCCTTAGAAGCTCCTAACAGCCCAAGATGAGAGGCTCTTCACCCTTTTTTGTGTCCTGGACCTCTCTGTCAATCTGGTGAAGTCTGTGGACCCCTTCTGAGAATTGGGTTTTGTTTTTTTTTAATGAATAAAATAAAATGCATAGGATTATCAAGGACACAATTAGTTGAAATGGAGTTGTCACAATATTAAATAAACAAGTTCTCAAGACCCCAGGTTAAGAATCCCAGCTGTAGAACTCCTGGAAGCCAAAATACAGTGTGAATCACCGGAGAGTGTGGACATCCTCGATGAGTTTTTTAAAAATCAGAAACACAGAGTTAAGCATCAGGAAGATGCTCATTGACAGAGGCTGAGAATCTAAACTTCGTGACTTCGTTGAGTGACATCATCAGTTTAACTTTGATTTTGTGTGTTGGTGACTCCACAGAAATTTTATATTTCTGACGTCATTGGTGTCCCTTTGACTTGAGGGCTTGTGGAAGAAAACCTGCCCGGCGCCATCCCTCCCCTCCCTTACCAGGCAGTGGGGGCACGCTCATCCCCCTGTCCAGCCCCCCACCCCCATACCAGGCAGTGACAGTGTGGTTCTCCCTCCACCCAGCGCCGTCCTTCTCCACCCCCCCCCATACCAGGCAGTGGGGGCACGCTCCTCCCCCCACGCAGCACCCCCCACCCCCATACCAGGCATTGGGAATGTGGTCCTTCCCCTCCCTCCATACCAGGCAGTGAGAGTGTGGTTCTCCCCCTACCCAGCACTGTCCTCCCCTCCCATACCAGGCAGTGGAGGCACGCTCCTGCCCCCACCCTCCGGTCAGATATAATGTGCCATCTTTGGGGCGCAGCTCCAGCCCAATCTCATTGTGCTGCTTGTTTCTCTTGACAGAGGGAGCTCGATGCTACAGCAACAGTATTGGCCAACCGACAAGATGAAAGTGAGCAGTCTCGGGAAGAGGCTCATTGAGCAAAGTCGAGAGTTCAAGAAAAACACTCCGGAGGTGAGGCCGGCGTGGCGCCTTGGTCGGGGGTGGCGTTGGGTGTGTGTTGCCTTGGTTTGGTCATTGGCCTGCACCTCCCTGCACCCCACTGCGCTGTGGGGCCCTGTAGACACCGATCGGCTTGGATTTAGCCATTGGAAGTAAATCCCCAGGTTTATTCAGAACCTGGATAGGAACAGAGCAGAGTGCGAATAGCGATTCTCTGTTTCAGTGTCCATGCTTGCCTTCCCCTCCATAATTCTAGGGTTCAGCTGTTTGTTATTTTCAGGAGTCAGGCCTTAAGTCCATTAACATGCCAGGTAGAAGGGCTGCACTTGCAGCCGCATAATGAGAACCTTCTGCGTGTGTGTGGAAGCTGAGACAGGTGGTTAACAGGACCTGCTTCCCTGGCCAAGCCCTGGGGAAGCAGGGGGCGCATTCCTGCTTCTGTCCATGGCTAGGCCCATCATCACTTCTTTAAAAATACACGTGATTCTAGTATTGACTTGTAAATGAACCAGAGGGCTTTTTGAAGCAGTGTTTGAAGAGGGCATCCATGCATCCACGGTCTCCCCGAGTTTTCCTTTGATCTGTGCGACAGAAGGACAGTGGGGGGGTTCCTCTTCAGGTCTTTGTCACTGTTGTTTTGGGACCTTTGACCCTTCCTTTCTCTCCATAGCTTAGTAAGTGAGAAAAAGAATGGAGCCATGGATAGCCGGCTGGACCTAAGGATTACATCCTGTGTGACAAACAGCAGCTCGGCCTGAGAGAGTTCTTATCTCTAGGCCTCACGTCCTCCCTCCATTCAGAGAAGGCCCAGGAGTCCCCTTGTCTGATTCTGCAGCGCCTTCCCTGAGGGTACCCCGGGTGGGGTGCGGGTGGGGTGCTCGTGTGCAGTCGAAAGCAGATATAGAAGACTTGATCCTGACTGGACAGTCACTCCACAGTCAGCCAGTCCAACCGAGCATCGACTCGGCGCCTGGTAGATGCTGGCGCCGGGCTCAGCCCACGGGCCACGAGAAAAAGACAAAACCAGCCCCTGCCTCAAAGGAGCTGATGTTCTGCCGGGGTGCCCGAGGCGTGCGCACAGTGTGTCTGCTTGGAATGAGGAGCGTACGAATCTGATCATTTAAAATGTGCCACAGGAAGCTGCTGGGTTTGTGTGTGTGGATGCACGGATGGATGGGCATATAATGTGTGTATTTATGGTTTTTAATTTTTACATCCTACTTACTTCTGTGTACACCACTCTCCTTTGCCCCTCCTCATGAGCCTCCCCACATAACAGAAGAAGGGAAAAGGACCATTTAAGCCAGCCCCATCCCTCCCCCTTGGCTGCCAGGGCATGGATTTCATCATTGCTTCTCCTGGTCGTTAGATTGACACAGGGACAAGTTCTGTGCTACTTTATTTTTGCCTGTGTTATGGTCCTTGTATCTTGTTATTTTTCTGGTTCTTTTTTTTTTCTGTGTGCCTACTGTGTGCGGGGCCCCGGGCAGGGGGTGGGGGTGTTTTCCTGTGTTTCTCTGCATTCCTCACGTCATTCATGGTCCATGACGTCCCCATGCTACTGCCGTTTGTCTGGCCCTCTCCACTTCCAATTTCCAGTTCTTTGCTGAAATGTAGAAGTACTGGGAAGCCGACTGTTTGAACAGTTCCTGTTGTGAGCTGGGCAGGCTTCCTGTTGCCTACTCAGTGCAGTCCAGTAGTCTGAGCATGGAGGGTGGTCTGACCAAAGTCCAGAAGGATCTCAGAGGCTGTGTAGGTGACCCTCCTCATTCTGGGAGAAGTACCCAAGGTCACACAGGTCACGGGTGGCAGAGGCAGGATTTGAACTGGGATCCCCTGGTTCCCAAGCCAGTTCGCTCTCCACTGTACCCTCTCAGACTGCTCCTCTTGGTGGGCTTTAGCAACCTAGCCGGACTGGATTCCTGGCCATCCTGAAGCACATCCTGTCATTTGCAAGTGCCTACCTCTTACCATGCGTGGCCTGTTCTGCGTCTGTAGGTTTCTCCTCCCCTCCCCCAGACCCTGCTCCCCATGAAGAGACCCAGAGCCAGATGCTGTATCCGAACTTGTCCCCTGCTGGGGTCTCTGCCAGTGCCTCTCTGCCGCTTGGTGCTTTTCTGGTGAGTGTTGCTGTGGCCGAGAAGACCCTCCTTTATTCTATCACTGTTGTCCATGTGTGGCTTGTGGCTTCAGCCCCATGCTGACCATGCCCCGGTACACTGTGTATTGCCAGACTGTAGCCTGGCCATGTCTTGGTACCCATTAGGGCTAGGAAATCTCGGCGAGGGTCGCCGTCAGTCTGGATGACTCTGTGGCAGCCGGAAATCGACAAAGGTGGAGCCCACCTCTCCATCCATGTAGGGGGAGAGGCCCCCTTTGAGGAGAGCCTGTGTCTGAGCCATTTCCTGGAGGCCCCAGGCTTCTGCTCAGCTGCCCAGCACCAGGTGAAAGGAAGCCCATTAGTATGGGGAAGGAAGTGTCCTTGGGAATTGATTGTGATCCATCCACAGCATTTTAAGAGTCCTTCTGCAGGGTCATCTGAGCATTGAGACAGTTTGCTAAGGGACCCAAAGGGACTTCTGACATCATGGAGTCAAACTCCCCTCATTTTACAGGAGAGGAGACAGAGGCGCAGGGAGAGGTAAGGACTTGTCCAAGATCTCAAAGTCCATAAGAGCCAAAAGCAGGACTGGAACCCAGGTCTTTCTGATGCCAAAGCCAGCACCCCTGATCACACCGTGACACTTCGCAATGGAAGACTGACTTTGTATGTAGGTCATGGTGTTGACCCCCACAGCTGAAGAAATGGAGACCTGGAATTCTCATTCCTTAACAGCCGCCATAAACCGTAAAGACATGGAGCAAAAGGAGCTTCTTTAGTAAATGCCTTGGCTAGGCCTGTTGAAAGGAAAGCTTATAATATGGAGGGGGTAGCGTGGTCCAGGAAGGCTGCAACTATCCCGTGAGCCTGGGAGTTTTCGTCTCTCACTATACTTAGAGGTGTGAAGGGATGGGGATCGCCCTCCACCCGCCACTGCTCAATGTAAATTATCAGAGGAGTGTAAACAGGCTGGCAGGCTGTGGTGGCTGTCCCCAGACCAGCCCTGGAGCTGGTGGCCAGGGCGCGTGGAGCCTCCAAGACCCCTGTGGCTGAGGGCCCTGGCCCAGAGAACCGTGAGGAAGGATGCCTTTGCACCCCTGAAGGCCAGGAGGGGAAGGGGCACCCCTTGCCTGGCCGGAAGAGGTAGCGCTTGGTGTTGTGGTGTTGGGGAAAAAAGTCTAGTCTGTGGGCAGGGCGCCTGGTCAGAAACCCTCAAGAGGCCGCAGAGTGAAAACCGTGATTTCTGGGATTTTGTTGGGACCCCCAGAGAAGAACCACAAGCTTTAAAATTCACTACCAGCACCCTCCAACATGTCAGAATATTGCCTGGAGTTCTGCAAGGTTACAGACTACCCGGGGTCCTGCAGCCAGCACGCCTCTAAGATGGGCCTGCAATCCAGGGCTTCCTGGGCTGCGGCCCCCTCACTACTGCTCTGCTGCACTTCCTCTTAACCCAAGTCTCAACAGTCGACATGCTCATAAAATAAAATTTTTGGTACTAGACCTGCCTTTGGTTTCAGTGATCCAGGGCTTTCTCCCAATGAGGAAACTTCCTTCACCAATGTAGATTGACTCTGCAGCTTCTCTTCGGAGAGGACGGGATTGCCTGGGGACACTGAGCCTGTCAGTGATTTCCTCAGGGTCACACAGTCAGGATAAGTCAGAGGCCCAGCTTTAACCCAGGTTATTTGTGCCCTGAAATCATCTTCCATGAATCATTAAGAAAAAGACTCTAGCATGGTCCCTGGTGGAGCTGGTGCATTTAAATAAAAGTACTAGAGACCCTGGACCCTCTCTCAGGTCCATCCCCCTGACTCTACCCCTTTCCTGGCCTTGCTGACGTTGTTAGTTCAGTGACTTGCCATTCAGATGTGCCTTAGGTGGAGCTTGGGTGCTGGGGCGGAGTCCCCTCTGGTTGGTAAACAGACAGCTGCCACACCCAGCCAGGCTCCAGGCAGGTGCTTGGGCCATGCTTGGGCCTGGCAGCTGCCAACGGAAGGTGCAGCCAGCTCTGACGAGTCTCTTCTATCTGGTCTGCCTTGTTGGATCTAACTTGATCCACTGTGTTAATTTTTGTTTTGGCTAGGGCTAATGAAAAATCATGAAAGTGGCAGTTTTTAAAGAGCTAGGGAAAAAATGAAGCACTTTTGTCCCATAAAGTTAATGCCCCAGAAAATAGGGGTGTGAACAGGTTACTTGCTTTGAGCTTTGGTCAGAGCAACAGTGTCTGAAATGTTGGCATCGGGGAGAGACAGGCAATCTGAGGACTCCAATGCCCTTCTTCCCGCCACATCTGCTCTGTGCATCGGGCTGGTGAGGGCCAGGAGGACGGAACTGGACCTTTCTCTGCATCCTGGGGAGCCTTGAGTTGTGCTGTGAGCAGCTCTGTGCAGCCTGATGCTGAGGGAGAGCCGTCCGTCAGGCCTGATTGCTGGCTGTGGTGGAAGTGGAGCGTGGAGGAGTGTGGAGGAGCTTGGTCCTTGGCATTTTTGTTTGGGTCCTTCAATGGCTTATTTAAAAACTATTGACATCATCCTGATTCCCCAAAGGCTGCCTCTTGGGTTCCCTCCCCAGAGAGCCAGCCCTCGTACCAGAGAATAAAAAGAGAAATGAGTTGTGTAAAATCAGACCAACGTAATTCTAATCTGTGTGGCCTTGGGCGCAGGCCCCGCTGCATCCTCATCTGTAACAGGCAGGGGGGCTCTCGGGGCCTGTGAGATCCTCTCAGCGTCCTGGTGCTCGGACAGTGCGTTCCTCTCCCTGCACCCCTCACCTCTCAGGTCCTTTGGTTACGTCTTTTTGCCTGGTTGTCCCCAAAGGAGGATGTTCTTGGAGCAGATCTGGAACATAAACAACAAACATGGAAGGAAGATTTTTTTAACAATCACCTTAAAAGGAAGACGGCAGCTTC